GGCCGGACCGGACCGTTTTAATATTTCTCAACCGGTTCCACCCCTGCCAGACATGGGTCTCCCCTATTGTGATGGTCTTCGGATAGAATTTGGAATATTTGATGGTCGTAGTCTGAATCATGTTACACAATGGAAATCACTCTGTTGTGAAAATAATAGTTGTTTCGTCTATGGATTTGACACAGTTACTGGTTTATCAACTGATTGGCGACCAGGATTTCCTTAAAGTCTGTTTGTCGTTAGCATTGATCCAATTCGTATTGAATCAAATGTGGCACTAGTCAAAGGACTTTTTATAGATTCACTTCCACAGCAACTAGTAAAACATAAGGATACATATGTTTCATATGTTCATATTGACTGTAATATTTATGAAGGTACACGAGATGTATCTTTTCGATTGACAAGTCGATTAGTAAGTGGAACATTGCTAATTTTTGATGAACTCTTTAGTTATCGACAGCATGAGAAACATGAACTTAAAGCAATATTTGAATTTCTAGTGGCAAATCATAATCTACAACTGGAAACACTTGGTTCAACATATCCTGTTACATTGAATGATGCTGAAGAAAATGGGAAATCACAATCAAAGGGTTTTGTCGTTATGTAACAAATCTAAAATGATTGTCTCTGAGGAATACCTAAAGATTTGAGATGTACAATACACGACTTTAGATTGGTATGTGGAAAGCGTTGACTTTCGAACAGAAATGCAGCTATGTAGGATGTCGTCTCTTTATAGATTTTTTTATGTGCTCATTTGTATTGCGTTGAGAAAAATGAAATAGATAAATTGCATCGATATGTTTCAGAGATTAAGATCTTAGTAAAAATGTCCGTCAGATTCAAGATCCTCCTAATCTGATAACCATCATCTTCGAATACTTTTCTAACAGCTGCAAAATGTGTTTATCATCGGTTATGTGAAAGATAAGATTGCAGAAAGTTTGATTGAAATAGGACCGAACAATAACAAGTTACATCGAATTTTTCCGGATACGAAAAATTGCAAAGAATAAGTATCCTGAGAAGACACTTGGTGATTCATCTTCTTTCGAAAAAGTATGATGCTATACTATAGAGAAATTTAATTTTCATCTTCAGCTAAAAATATATCTTCTTGGTGCTTCTCAAATGAACACAGACCATTCTGGTGGAACTCACATATTTGATGAACGAAAATAGCAAGTGTAAGTAGTAAGGCTAGGTTTTCCGTCTTGTCATTCCATCTCATAACAACCAGTTGAATGCATGATGGTGAAGGTTCAGATAACAATGACTTTAACTCTACTGACAATCATAACAACGCTAACAAAGCTACTCATAGTAGGATTTAGCAGTTAATGGTGAGTATGGTTGAAGAGAAGGCCCAACCTCTCATCCTTCATCAATGAGCGTAATACTTGTTTCATGTTTTACTCTTGACAGTTCTCTTTAACATTTACGATCATTTCATAGAAAATAATAACATTTTTCCTTGTGATTTTTTTATTGCAACGTTGTCTCATCTTTGAATAATGAAGTATATACCTCTAAAACATCCATTTTCTTAATTAATCATGTTCATTTAGACTTCCGCATATGTTGAAATTTTGTAAATCAAAATAACTTCATAAATTTTTACATATAATCGAATTGACTTTGTCTTCTACAGATGTTCTATCTTTGCTTTATGATCATAAAACAGACAACTATAGGCCAAATTAATTTTTTTTGTGAAACTAAGTCATCATATCACTATTTAAAAAGATTTTCATTTATTTCTAAGAACTGCAGTCCTGTTATTTTTGTTAAACGACAGAATACATTCACTTTCATAAAAGAAAAGAAAAGAAAAAGGTAATGAATAATGAGTGAAAATTCAAACACTATAGTACAAATCTTACATTCCATCGTTTAACTCAAAGATGATTTGACAAAATTTGTCTGCCTTATGTC